CCATCCCCATCCCCATCGTCCCCATCATCTCTATCCCATCCCAGCCCCACCAGCATGACCCCAGCAAGGGACAGGCTCAGCAGAGCCCACGAGGACACCCCTGCCCATCCCCACGTACTGTCGGAGGCACTGAAGTACTCGGGGTTGACGGAGGCGTAGAGCGTCCCACTGGGGTACCCATCATTGCTCCTACAAGGGGTGGGCATCGCTCAGAGGACGGGGGGACAATGGCACGATGCCACCTCCCCCTGACCCATCCCCAGCCCTGGCTCAGCCAGCCCCAGCAGGTGTCCTTACCTCTTCTTGTTGTAGAAGAAGGCAAAGACGGCGAGACAGGAGATGAGCACCATGAGGACCACAGGCGTGACAGTGAGCAGGATGTAGAAGCTGCTGGACTCCTCCTCAGCTCCTGGGAGCAGGTGGCCATGGGGCAGGGGCTGGGCACTCATCCCACCCCACATGGTGCAGGGACATCTGTCCCACTACCACCACCACTGGGCCAGAGATGAAGAGCCACCAGCTCCCCAGACCAGCAACACCCACTGATCTCCAGGTGTCCCCATCCCAGAGCATCCCTCAGATCCCCCAATCCAGCCATATCCCCTGATCCCCAGCATCCAGGTCCAGGACCATCATCTGATTCCCAGTCCAGGAGCATCCCCTGATCTCCAGTTCCTCAGTCCAGGAGCATCTTCTGTCTTCAACATCCTTGTTCAGGACCATCCCCTGATCCCCAGCCTCCTGGTTCAGGACCATTCCCTGCTCCCTGGATCTCCAGTCCAGGATGATTCCCTGCTCCTCAGTCCAGGACCATCCCCTGCTCCCCAGTTCCCTAGTCCAGGACCATCCCCTGATCCTCAGCATCCTGGTCCAGGTCCATCCCCTGATCCTCAGCTCCCCAATCCAGGAGCATTTCCTCATCCTCAGTTCCCCAATCCAGGACCATCCCCTGATCCTCAGCATCCTGGTCCAGGTCCATCCCCTGATCCTCAGCTCCCCAATCCAGGAGCATTTCCTCATCCTCAGTTCCCCAATCCAGGACCATCCCCTGATCCTCAGCATCCTGGTCCAGGTCCATCCCCTGATCCTCAGCTCCCCAATCCAGGAGCATTTCCTCATCCTCAGTTCCCCAATCCAGGACCATCCCCTGATCCTCAGCATCCTGGTCCAGGACCATCCCCTGATGCCCTGTTGCCCAGTCCAGGGCCATCTTCTGCTCCCCACCATCCCACCCCACCAGCATCTCCCAACCCTTCATCTCCTCACCCCACCAGTATCCCCCAGTACCCTGATCCAGCAGCACCCCATGACCCCACCTCCCTGCCCCCCATCCAGGGACCCCCCTGGTGTCCTCCGCTGTCCCTGTGGGAACCTGGCCCCAGGATGTAAAACTTGACCAGCCCCGTCCACGAGCCGTTGCCTGCCAGCGAGGTGGCCCGGACCTTGGCCGAGTAGTTCCCCGGCTGGAGCAGGGCCAGGTGGACACCCCCGTACTTGGAGTAGCGGTGACGGGAGACACAGACAACGGTGGTGACCTCCTGGGGGGGACAAGAGGGGGTGACAAAGGGGCTTCATATCACCCCACCCCAGCCATGTATAAACCTTGGGGGAGGGAGATGGGATGGGAAAGGGATGGGATCGCAAAGGGAATGGGGACTGGGATGGGATGGGATAGGATGGGATGGAGATGGGAAGGGGATAGGATAGGATAGGATAGGATAGGATAGGATAGGATAGGATAGGATAGGA